AATTCCTTGGAAAATAGAATTAGATTGCTTTTTGACTTAATCCTTGTCCACTGCTTTAAAATAGGAGTTTCTCACACTGACATTGGAATTCTAGAGGAAAGACTGGAAGCTCCACAAAGTGTTGTGTGTTGTGTGTGTGTATTGTAAACAAATTTCCTTTGCCAGGTGGTCATAATAGAAAAGTCATGAGTGTTTAGTTGGAGAAAAAGCATTAAGGTGCTAAGTCGTACAGTACTGGAAGGCAAGGAGGCTGAAGCAACTGTGGGAGCTGCAATATTCTTTTTTTCAACACAAGCTTTATAGAGATATGAACAACATTTTTGATCAGAGGCCAAACTGAGTGTCACTCAAGTGGCATTACATGCCACAGCATTTAGTATCATATTGCTCTTCTTATGCTAAGAGGAATTTCTGAAAACCCTCCAGCACTTGAAAAAACTGAGCAAGAGGGAGCTTCTGAGTCAAGTGCAAAATTACCGCAGCCAATTTAATCAGAAGAACTTGCTGATTAACGTGTACTACCTTGTCATTCACCAATACGGGAAATGTTCATAATCAGGAGTGGGCCATCTCTGATCAATTAGAGCTCTTCTTCTCTGCTTAGAGCCCTATATTGAGACAGCTGTCTGAGGCCACTGTTGGGCTGGCAGGAAACAGCATTGCATCAACTAGCAATGCCATCTGTGGGTGGGAGAGAAGGTTATGCTGCTACACCTGCCAAGCAGCTGCAATTGTTGAGCTGGTCCAACCTCTTCATTTCGCATCTGATGGACCAAACACTCAGAGAGCCTCAGCTTACTTTCTCCATGTACACTTATTTAAAATCATCCATATTATCGTTTTATTTTAGATTTTTCTTATTTATTTAATTCCAAAATCTATCCTAATGGGATAGATCTCTTTCTCTTAGATCATTGATTTTTAAAGGGGGTATATAGTCATTTATTCAAAACAGAAGATTGGATTCTAAGCAGCAATCCCAATTGTGATGAGATTCAACATGTTGAAAATCATTTGGCATTGCATTATTTGTTGATTTAAAAAATGTGAAGCCATTTTGCTAGACCATACTTTATGCTACCCAGGAGCTTTTACTGTACCCCATACTATCAAACTAACATTTATATGGGAGAATTAGTGTGTGATTTACACACATAATGAAAAGTCACTGAGTGACAGAGTATTATTCCAGAAATACTTATATTATACTCAAAGCTCATTAACTAATAATAGTTTATAGACTCTACATGAAAATGATAAGGGAAATGGTGTACATCTGAATATTCACAAGGATTTAAGAACCCTTTTGACAAATAATCCCTGGGTGTAGATTACTCTCCAAATTTAGCTGATGACTGGTTCAGTTTGAAATCTCACTTTCCAGAAATAACAAGCTATGAAATGTGTACAGAGCAGGCCAAAATTTCTTATTTTTTTCCCTGACTTAATACTGAAGACAGCTTATCTCAAGTGACTCCAAACCTGAATGCACTAGTGAAATTCCTTGGAAAATAGAATTAGATTGCTTTTTGACTTAATCCTTGTCCACTGCTTTAAAATAGGAGTTTCTCACACTGACATTGGAATTCTAGAGGAAAGACTGGAAGCTCCACAAAGTGTTGTGTGTTGTGTGTGTGTATTGTAAACAAATTTCCTTTGCCAGGTGGTCATAATAGAAAAGTCATGAGTGTTTAGTTGGAGAA